GAAGGCGTGATTAAAATTATTCCGAGCCCGGACCCTTTTACGTTCGAGGCTCTATCCATAAATAAGGTCCAAACCCCTGATGTCAATTCTGACACCATTACTGCCTCCTTGGTTTCCAGAGGCAGCAGTCCCGTACTAAAATTGGCAACGAAGTCAGCCAAGACTTGTGACTTAATTGTAATCCTTAGTTTATATTGTATGTCAAATTCACTCATTTCAACGGCCTATTTGGCCAATCTACCCGAGAGCTCGGGTTTATGAAGGATGTTCCGTAAAGGGAAATAGTCACCACAGCTATTGGGTGGCATTGAAAATAGGGCCTCAGCTTCCGATCGGCGACTACGAGAGCTAAGGGCAGTTTTTCCATATGTGGGTAGCGAGTTTTCGCTCCCATTAAAATTTTGTCAACGTAATAAATAGAAAATTGCGTACCATCCTCCCGGACTAAAACCGTACTTACCGCAACTTCTGAAACCGCGAAGTAGACTAGCAATGTTTCGCCTTATTTTGGTTTCGAGAGCAATGGAGGGCTTGATAAGTACTTCTTCAGGTCCCTCAAAGCCTGTTGGCACTCCGGCGTCCATTCAAAGTTGTTCTTCTTTTTTAGCAATGTAAAGAAGCGATGACACTTTTTCGACGGCCGGGAAATGAACCTGCTCAAAGCTGCTAACCTTCCAGTGAGTCTTTGTACTTCCTTCACGTTTGATAATTGATCGGGGATCGTCTATGCCCTTGATTTTGTCGGGGTTTAACTTAATTCCCCTTTGTGAGACCATAAACCCTAGGAACTTACCGGAGCTGACCTCGGACGCGCACTTTTCGGGGTTAAGTCTTATGTTATGCTTCCTCGGGATATCGAATGTTTCTTTCAAATACATAAGGTGGTCACCTGCATTCAAAGACTTAACAAGCATATCGTCTATATAAACTTATATGGTCTTTCCTATTTGCTTTTCAAACATCTTATTTATGAGACGTTGATAAGTGGCTCCGGCATTTTTCAACCCGAAGGGCATTACATTGTAACAATATGTACCAAAATTTGTTATAAACAAAGTTTTTTCCTGATCTTCTGGGTTCATCGTAATTTGGTTGTACCGGGAATAAGCATCAAGGAAACTCATCAATTTGTGCTCGGCTGTGGCATCAATCATTTGATCGATATTTGGCAGTGGAAATGAATCTTTCGGGCATGCCTTATTAAGATCTTTATAGTCTACACACATATGAAATTTATTGTTCTTCTTAGGAACTACTATTACATTGGCTATCCAGTCTGGATATCTTACCTCTCTGACCGAACCAATTTTAAGCAAGCGGGTTACCTCTTATTTGATGAATTTATTCCTGGCCTCGGCAATAGGGCGCTTCTTCTGTCATACTGGTGGTACGTTATGATCAAAACTTAGCTTATGCACGGCTATTTTCATTGGGATACCTGTCATATCCTCGTGCGACCATGCAAAACAATCAGCGTTAATTTTAAGAAATTCAATAAAACCAGACCTGAGCTCGGGGTGCTGTCCTGTCCCCAAATGAAATTTTCTTTCTAAGAATTCTTCGAACAATGCCACTTGCTCTAGTTCCTCTGCCGTGGATTTTGTTGCATCCATCTCTTCCGGAACTTGGAAATATCTCGGCACCTGATATTGGTCTGGTGACTCTGCCCCTGGAATAACCTTTCTAAATGGGGAGTAAGCGTCGGTTCCTGTAATTTCTATGTCGTGCGCTCCTTCCCTTTGCTACTGGAAACTGAGATTGCATTCATCTCCCTTGATGTCGGTTGGTCACCTCTTATCTGCATATCCTTCGGGCGTTGGAAACTTCAGCAATTGGTGATACGTCGAAGGTACAGCTTTCATCTCGTATAGCCATAGCCTTCCTAAGATGATATTGTATCCCATATCACCATCCACTACTTTGAAGAGAGTTGTTTTCATTACTCCTTCAGCGTTCGTGAGTAGAAAGATCTCTCCACGGGTCATCACGCTCGCAAGGTTGAATCCAGCAAGGAGTTTTGTTGCCAGAATAATGCTTTTGGTGAGTCTAGCTTGTTCCGATACTCTTCATTGTATGATATTAGCCGAACTTCCTGGATCCACTAGAACACACTTAATTTTAAAATCAAAGACATTTAAAGACATTAACAGTGCTTCGTTGTGTGGTAACAACAATTCGTCTGCGTCTTCCTCCGAAAAAGCGATATCGTCCTCCCAAAGTCTTTTTCTGTAAGTTATCGATACTTTAGTCTTTTTTGCCGCCGAAAAGGTGACCCCATTAANGTTGCGACCGTAATTGTTCTTAGCTCGATCACTCAAGAATTCTCATAGATGACCATTCTTCAATAACGTTGCCACCTCATCCCGAAGGTGTCGGCAGTCCCCTGTCCGGTGACGTGATATTCGCACCATAAACTGGGATCCCTCTGGTTGGAATCGGACCTCATAGATCTTGGGAATCGTGCTTCTTTAATGTTTCTCATGGCTGAAACCAGTTCCATTACTGACGTTAAAGTTATATTCTGATAACCTGGGGTAAGAAAGATCTCGATACCCCTACGCTTCTTTATCTTGAAGTGATCTATTGTTTCGACCACGATCAGTCCCTTTGTTAACGGTGGACTTATTTGTTGCCCGAAAATTTCTGCCACAGCTTTCGGTATGCTCGTAGGGCAAAAACTGACCCCTCGAAGTCCGCCTATCCACATCGTAGTCATCCTTTGATTTTCTCTGTTCTTCTTCCGTCCTTTAGCCGATGATGTAGAACCGGCCTGGTCATCTTCGATCCTTATCTTTGATTCGTACCGGTTGTGAACGTCTGCCCAGGTTGTTGCTTGAAACTCAAGCAGTCTCTCCTTCAGCTTCAGGGAAGCGTCTGCACTTCTCGGATTCAATCCTTTGGTGAATGCTTCAGCTTCCCATTCATCCAGAACGGCTAGGAGCAACATTCTTTCTTTCTTGAATCGGGTAACAAACTCTCGTAATAATTCAGATTCTCCTTGTGCGATTCTGAATATGTCGGCCTTCCGGTCTTGCACCTTTATGGCCCCGACGTGAGCTTTAATAAAAGAATCCGCGAGCATCTCAAAGGAATCTATGGAATGCTTGGGGAGTAATGAATACCATGTTATGTCTCCCCTCATGAGAGTTTTGCCAAATTTCTTTAGCAACGCAGATTCAATTTCGTGAGGATCTAGATCATTTTCTTTCACCGTTGTTGTGTAGGTGGTAATATATTCCTGTGGCTATGAAGTTCCTTCATTTTGAAATGCTTCGGGATTAGTTCTGGTGCCGCACTTGGCTTGTACGGTAATTAAACATACTTCTTCCAGTTCGGCACTTTCAATACTGGCGGTGCGCCCGGGATTTGATCCATGCAGGGGTTTACTTCCATCATGAACAGTAAAAGCTCATCTTTGAATGAATCGTTCTCGTTGTTAAGACCTGATCTGCTCCCCCCAGCCCCAGCGAAGCCAACTTCACCCCTGGGAATATTGTTGTCGACTCTCTGTGTTGTTTGTTCTGTGGGAACAATGGAAGGAAATGGATCGCGCCTCTTTACATTATTCGAAGCACCTGATAGTTCCTGCTTCAGTTCCGTCTAAACCTGATCCTACCGCATGAGATGGCCTAGAATGATTGCATGTTGCTCTTGCAGGATCCTCACAGCATCTACTACTTACTCCTCGTCAGCATCATTGGGAGTTGTCTCCCGAACCTGTCGAGAGTACCGTCTGTCATGCACCGGCGTGGCGTCATTCCCCTCATTGCGGGTATCACTGATTGAGTCCTCAAAATGAGGTTGATCCCCTCGAATTTCAAGGTTGTGTGCATCGTTAACAGTGTTATCTGTCATTTTTTGTGATTTTTTCTAAGACAAAATAGTCAAAACACGTTAGTAAAAAAGGCAAGGATCAATTTAATTGCACGGCTGTCTAGGCCCCACGGTGGGCGCCAAACTGTTTACCCATAAAACGGTACAGTTAAATTTATACGTGATTTCTAGACAAGTGAACTAATTTGATCCTGAAATAATATAATAATCGAAGTAATACACAATATTTAGCCTTAGAATGTAGATAAAATAGCAAAGATGGTGATTCCGTGAACACGATTTTCGAACGTAGCAATGAGGAGATCAAAAGGCAAGAAAGTGAAATTGTATAAAGCTCTATATAGAATATAGTATATGTTTTTGCCAAAAAATTTGTGTCCCTTACAATGGTAACTGAGCTCAATATTTATAGTTATGCCTAGGGAAAGAGGTCCTAGGATCATGCTCTCATTTAATGTCAATTATGAGGGTCATTGATGAAGATATAACGGTAAACATAAACACCAAATTCTCTATAATGAACCGTCGCTCTTAATGCTGCAGAATATTCTTTAGTAAATGCTACCGGACGCAGAGCATTTAATACACCTTTATGAATGTTATCCTTTCTAGTAACAAGCGGAGTGGCTGCGTTCGGTCCTCAGACATCCCATCTTGGAGGATTCCACGTGTCCTCCTTTTAATCAGCCACGTGTCATATCATATTTTACTCTATACATCTTGTACGTAATTAGTACCTTAAAGCATAAAAGATTTTATTTTGACAACGTATATATTCTAGTTATTTTTATAGCATAAAAAATTTATTTTACTTATCTTTAAACCTTAGTTTTTTTATATAAAAAAAACTTCTCACTCTCTTGTACGTGATGAATGGAAATATATTACTTTCTTAAGCATTTTCATCTTTCTTTTTCGAAGGCTCTTCTTAGCGGCTACCTTCTTTCCTCTTGTAAAACATCTTCATCTCTTCCTCTATATATGTGATCTGGAAAATTTTCTTTCACATAAAGCAACTTTCAGCAGAAAGGGCACAAAAAAAAAAAGTAATAGAGAAAAAAAAGATCCAAAGATCCAGAGAAACAAAAGCATTAGATTATAATCTATACAAGCAACTTTTAACTTCAAAAGCTCCAACACTGAAAATGAAATAGGATCAAGAAAACAAAACCATGTTGTTATTAAAACAGAATTTTTATTATAACAACATAGGTGTCCGGTAACTTGCGCGCCTAGACTAATTCAGCGAGTACTAGCTACTTCTTAGTTTTCACAAGCATATACAGTCAATATATAACTCAGTTCATCAAAACTTAGACTGATAGCAGAGAATCATCTAACATTGCCTTTGGTGGAATTTGAACACTCCTCAAAAGATTATGTGGTCGCGACATAATTATTTAATGTAGCTGACAGCCAACATAAGAAAATGATACAACTTTAACTAAATAAACTTAACATAAGATAAAACAATATAATTCAAACTCAATAGTGTAACACATAAGCATCATATTGAACTGTAGCATCCTTAGTTTTCAAATCCAATGACTTAGTCCTTGCCTGAATATACCCTCTAGCAAATCGGAAAAGCCCACTGCCACCAATCACCGGCATCTCTCTAACCGTCTCGAACACCGAATTCCGGCCGAGCACGGCTAACGTGCTACCGTTATATTTCCCTTCAATAAACACAAAATTCATGACCATTAATATACTTAATTCACTTTGTGAAGCTGAACCATAAAACCCTTGTGCCCTTCCAACAATTTTGGAACTCAATTTTGGTCCTAGGGTTAGGGCATTATCCATCATGTTTATTAGGCCGAATCCCGTGGCGATGGTGGTTGTGGGTGGTGGTACGATCATAATAGAGGTTGGTTTCGAGCCACTTAAGATGTCATGCCAATAGAATCTGAAATGGCTGAGTTTTTCTCTTTTTAGATCGTTGGACTTTCTATTTATAGATTTTTCGAACACGTATTCATTATCTTCTCCAATGGCCGAAAAAACTAGGAGAAGAAGAAGAATGGAGATAATGAAGAATTGAAGGAGTCTAGGCATGGAAGTAGATTTTTTGGGTTACTTGGTAGTTATGAATAATTGAACATGCATGAAGTTTTCTAGGTTATGAACTTTCTATTTATAGAACTTGGGTGTTTGGTCTTTTTTGTTTTTAATTATTAATTTATTTATTTATTTTGGCTAAAGTTTTAAAAAACTACCACTATACTTCCAAGCAAAAATAGCACCGGCTAGCAAGTTTTCGGACTGGTAATTAAAAATAGCCAGCGTTGGAAAGTCATTAAAAAATAGTCATTATTTTGCTGCAACACAGGCCGGTCCAGCATAATATACTGGAGATTGGTGCACCTGTGTATGAACTTCCAGCATATTATGCTGGAACTCCAACACGCGGAAAGTTCCAGCACCAATATACTGGAGATTGGAGCACTTGTGTATGAACTTTCAGCATATTATGCTGGACCGGTATATTATACTGGAACTCCGGTATATTATATTATACTGGAACTCCAGTATATTATGCTGGAATATTTTTCGGATTTTAAACAGTGTTTTCGTTCAGATTTATCTTTACATGAAAAATGGCTAAATTTCGATTACTTTTGAAATTGTGACTATTTTTCAATTATCACTTGTAAATCTGGTTATTTTTGAATTTCTCCCTACTTCCAACTACTACACACAAAAAGAAAAAAGACAAAACAAGAGACTAAAATGGGAACAAAAAATAGTGGGATAATCTTGCACTTTTGATTCCTTAATTATTGGTAGATATCTGATATTAGTCCTTTTGCGATATTTCATTAATCATATTTAACTTTGAATTAATTGATTGTGTGTTGTGGTCTATTTACATTTTTTTTTTAAAATATCGCATTTAGATTATTATTGATAATTATATTACCGCTCAGTTATGGAGTAACGATAGAATATTTAACATAATAATTGAATAATTAACTAATGATTAACAATTAATAGTTCGTTAAACTTGTTAGAATTCGCTAGCAGAAATGTTCAAAAATCCACATTTCAATTAAGTGAAGGTTAAATGTGTGTAACCAAATATTACAAGGACCAAAATAAGAATTTATAATATTTCAGGGATTAAAAGAATAAATTTCTTTAGTAGAGTAGTAATTCAAATTAAAGCAATCTGCTATCATAAATCATTATGTTTCACTTAGTCTTACCATATGAAAAATGTCTTGTCAGACGCGGGAGTTTTCAATAACTATAATGATTTCCTTCCCCCACTTTGATTATCTGGATTAATTAATTTATAATAGTATAATTAGAAAGAATATTTCCTTGATTATTTTACATTATTATGAAATGAATGAGGCTAGTTTTCTTTTTGAATTTGATAACATAACAATATATAAGCGCTTTATTTCTCGAGTAAAATTGAAATATAGGCCACTTTTATTAGTTTATAGAATTGGTAAAATTGAACTTTCCTTGATGTGTTATACTCATGTGCTTTAGTTGAGATTAAATATGAAACATCTGGTCCTTTAATGACTTAAAAGACTTGTTTATCATTCATATACTTGCTTGTTTAATGTGCTATTTTCTTTTACTAAACTTTACGTTGAAAATGTCACAGTGATCAGTCTCAAACCTTGTCTATATAATGATGGATGATAAAAATGTCTGATTAACATTGTTATCATATTATATATTGAATGCTTAGAATGGAAGCACACTAGTAACTGTGGTCCATTATTGCAGTTCAATGGGAAGAATGATAATGAACAAGTTGAGTACGTCAAGTAACGGTGAATTTAGGATTTTAAAATTATGGGTGCTCGACAATAAAAATAATGAAAGAAGAGGAAAAAGGAGTTTAGTCGTAAATGCTCACTCAATATTTATCTAGTTATTTTTATAGTTACCTATGCAAATTTACTAAATCTTGTCATAGATAATGGGTGCTTGAGCACCCACAAGAGATCATGTAGATCTACCAGTGCATCAGAGTAGCTAACATGTAAGTTGCGGGATCACATGAATTTAGTAATTTTTGTTCAAATCTTGTATGTGTGATAATCGGCTTAATGTATACATATTTTGATATACATCGCCTCACATTTTGCTCATGTCTCGACAATTTGAGATGTTAATATGATTATTTGTGCTAAATTTTGATATTTCTATGTGTAGGGATCATTCGGATGCAATTTGGGACGAAAGGGCGCGAATTGGAGCGAAATCGGGACAAAAACGCAAAAAGTGAAATTTGAGGGCCACAGCCAGCGTGGGGCGCTGGCTGTGGCGCAATTCACACCAGCTAAAATTTGTGAGCGCCAGGGCCAGCGCCCCACACTGTCCTGGACGCTCAAGACGGGAAAGTGGCCTTTTTCGATTAGGACTCGATTATTTCGACCCCTAGACGCCCCCAACTCATATAAAAGCCAACCTAAACCTATTTTTGGAGGGAGGACGTGATTTAGAGAGGAGAGGGAGGCGCCAAACACTCGGAAGCAAGGATTTGATCAATTCTTCCATCCCTTTCCTAGTACTCATTGATTTTATGTTTGAAAACATTATTTTTGATGATTGTATTAACATGAGTGGCTAAGAACCCTATTGTTCTAGGGTCATGGGTATACATGAATGTTGACGTTTGAAGTTTAATTTGACGAAGTGGATTTTATCATATTGGGTTGTTTATTTAATTCTGTTTTTAATTATTTTGCTTGAGTAGCTAATAGTGAAATACTATCTATGAATCTAGAGTTGAACTCGAAAGTGGAAATTCTAGATTGCACATAGAATTAAATAGAGCAAGTTCTTAAACCCGAGCATCGGGGAACGGATTCGCAATTAGGATAGACATATACCTAATTGCCTTGCTCGGTTGCAATACAGGAATTGTAAAAGCGTTCTTGTTAATTTTAATTCCATAGACATATAGGTATTAAGTTATCTTTAATAGGCGAGTAAGGACTCGACAGATTCTTATGAGTAATATCAACCTTGTCAATCAACAATCCAGATAAATCAATTAGTTATTTTAAGCTAAGAATGCAACATGATTGTTAGATAACCCGTGACCCTGGAATATTATCTCCTATTGATTGTTATTCGAAATTATTTAAGTGTTGTGGTTGATTTCTAGTATTTCATTACTTGATAGTTTTTAGGTAGTAAATTAGAAAATTATCTATTTTGTAAGAACTCGCTTGAATCGATAAGTTATTTGAGTTTGAATTAGTCAAAAGTTAATCATAAGTCTTCGTGGGAACGATACTCTACTCACTACTCTATTACTTGACGATCACGTATACTTGTGTGAGGGTGTTTGGTCGCAACAAGTTTTTGGCGTCGTTGCCAGGGACATAAAAATTAGCTACTTGACTGAGTTAAGATTTTATTAGTTATTTGTTCAAGCTCTAATTTTCAGTTTACCTTGTTTGTGTTAAGGCAGGCTCTTCTCTTGAATGCGGAAGAGTAGAAGTGCAAACAATCTCCTTCCTCTTGATCCTGAAATTGAACGAACACTTCACAGAGTGAGGAGGGAAGTCGAAACAAGAACTAGAATAGAGGGAAAGTTGGACATTGTAGTTCAACCACAGCCAACAGAGATGGAAGGTAATGAAGAGCGTGCGGTGATAGAAGCCGCAAGGCCCAATCTTGAGAATATGACTCAGGCTATTGTGAAGCCTGATATCACAGGGCATTTTGAACTCAAACAGTACATGGTACAGTTGATTCAGTCCACAGGGCAATATGTGGGTCTACCTCATGAAGACCCGCAGAGGCACATTCAGAATTTTCTGGAAATTACGGACACCTATAATTATCCGAATATTTTCAAGAACTATGTCAGGCTGACATTATTTCCCTTTTCACTGCTGGGAGAAGCTAAGGAATAGTTGCAAAAGGAGCCCGCGAACTCAATCCACACTTGGGATGATCTAGCAAGGAAATTCTTAATCAAGTTTTTCCCCACTAAGAAGACAAAGTCGCTGAGGAGCCAAATTCTTGGGTTCCAACAACGGGATGGCGAGACACTTCGTCAAGCTTGGGAAAGATACAAGAAGCTACTCAGAGACTGCCCGCATCATTGTCAAACTGATGAGGTATTGGGTCACACTTTTGTTGATGGGTTAGATGAGGCATCAAAGATGAATCTTGATTCAGCTTGTGGGGGTAGTTGCATGGCGAGGCCGTATAGTGAAATACAACTCTTGCTAAATAACTTTACTGCTAATGACCATAATTGGCAAGGAGATGGGGACTCGCGAAGGGAAATTAAACAGAAGGCAGCCGGGTTGATTGAGCTTGACGACTTCTCAGCCATGAGAGCCGATATAGCAAAATTGGCAAATCAGATGAATAGAATGACAATGCAACAAACACAACAGATGCAACATGTACAGCAGATGTCTATTTGCTGTGAACTATGTGGTGACAGTCATATGAGTGACATGTGCCCCACGAATCCTGAATCTATATACTATGTGGGGCAACAGAGCAGAGGTCCAATGAATCAGCATACACAATATGGGAATACTTACAATCCAAATTGGAGGAATCATTCTAACTTCTCATTGAGAGGAAATCAACAGAATCAGAATCAGTATAGGCCCCAAGGAAATTTCAATTAACCTCAGAAACTATCCCTACAAACAGAAGAGAGTACGAATGACTTGCTGAAGAAGTTGTTGCTTGACAATCAACAGCTCAGGACCGATTTCAGAAATCTTGAGAGGCAAATGAGACAGTTAGCAGCAAATCAAAACACTAGACATGCAGGCGCTCTTCCCAGTGATACAGAGAAGAACCCTCAAGTTAATGCAGTTATACTCAGAAACGGGAGGGAACTAGAAGAAGTGCCAAAGAAGAGAAAGGACAAGCCTATACCTGAGAGGGAGGTGATCCCTAAGGCAATACACGGGTCAAAGAAAAATGATGCAGGTTCAGAGCCAGTGGAGGCTACAAGGCCACCACCACCTTTCCCCCAGAGATTGCAGAAAAAGAATGATGATCGCATGTTCAACAAATTTCTCTCTATGTTAAGCCAGGTTCAATTGAAAATTCCATTAGTGGATGTACTTCGTGAA